TCTACACATAATACAGTACGTATGTAATGTATAGTGCCTATCCTGCATTTGCAAGTCAAGAACTAGGACTCTCCGGTTATTGCGCCCTCCGCTTATTAAGCCCAATTAGGTCTGAGTCCGAGGTGGGCTTCATAACCGGCGACTACTGTACTAATATTTCCAATAAAATAACCATTTTAACAACCTACCTAATTAAGATAAGTAGCAAAAATAACATTGCTTGCATGGGGTCACTTTTACCTACCTGCAATGAGTGTGGCTGTCTAGGAATTGAACCTGTCATTTGTTTTATTCCATTTGTTAACTTCAAAAAGGGCTAAAATTTTACAAAGACTAAAAGTTGCTAAAGAGTGTGCAACTTTCATGATAAAATTTGACTTGGTACCTTAGCATATATTTGGTAATACAATTTTGATTCATTGAGTTGCTTTACTTCTGCGAAAGCTTTTTAATTAGGAAAATAACCATTTTAGATAGGTTTATTAAGAGAACCGGCCATTAATTTTGGCGAAACTGGGAGCGGTGTCATATCGAAGAAATTTCCTATGAAATTAAGAAAGACAGAAGCAAACTGCTTGCTAATGTTAATTATACTCTAGGGGAAATCCAAAACAGGTAAAATATGTATAGAAGATATTCCCTCCAGAGCTGGAAACCTTTTCCAAAATTGTTCAGATTCTAATGAAGCTAAGTTGAAAGTATCGCATTTATTTACAGAAACATTTGAGATTTATATTTTGAAAATTATGTTTGGCTAACCTGTGAATTTTTTTTTGCACAAACTGCAGTAACATAAAAATTCGTCGTCATTTTGTTTTAGCGTACCGCTCTACTTGCGCATAGACAATATGTCCGCATATGTTACCGCAAAGGTAATGTATAGAAGGCTTTATTGAGTATAGGGTATTAAGAAGAAAACCTTTTTTGTAAACTAACGTTCCGCTTATGCGTCACGTAGAAACAGAACAGACAGAATAATAATAAGCATTTCAAAAACTGGCCATATATATGACCTGTTTTTTGCGTTCGCAATATTATGGTGGATCGTTGGATTTATCCTCTTTTGCGGAAAATAATGCATGAATTCATCTCCAGTCAAATTGAATCGCATATCTGCAGGTAAATTGAAGAAATTGTCAAAAGTCTCTAATTTAATTGTGACATTACCTTGAGAAAAGTCAATATACACAGAAATTGGTTAGCCGAATATCTAATCAAAGCACTTTTTAAAGAGGAAACCTATTAGAGAAAGCGTTTGTGTTGATCTTGGTAATAACAATATCCGACTTACCTTGCGGATTTTCTGTATATTGACACTATGGTTTGGTGTTTTGAGGCCATCATCATAAGAACTTATATCCAAAATCACCTTTCGGTAAATGCTCTTTATATACATCTTATTTTAACGGTCTTGACGTAAACGTCGAACGGAAGCGCAAATTATCAATCAATAAATGAAGACACTGAAAACGAAGAAAATCATGCCAGATTCTGATTTGTCCCCAGGGCTAATAGGTAGAAGGAGGCGAAGCCGGTTCTGATCGTAAGAATCTTTATTCAGGCTAACACAGAGACAGCGTAAGGATAATTCAGCGTGTCCAGTACAGCCTATTATAAGGTGCTGGTCCTCCTTGACTGTTTCTGGCCTATCGGACGAGAGGGGTAGTTCTGGCGTGGTTTCCCACGCAGCGGGACGTTCTGGAACATTGCAGTGCACGCTAGGGGCGGGCGCTACGTGAAGTCACGGTCTGCCGGCATAGTTCAACTGGGGTGCACTTTCAGCTCTACTTCAACTTACCTGAGGTCAAACTTACCGTGTTGGAGTTAGTTTATATTAGTCCGCAGCGCGAAGCGCCGCGCCCACCTCAAATTTACATGCCCTACAATTTACATGGCAAAAAAGTCATTTCCAGTTTAAAAAATGAAGAATTAC